GTATCGTATTGAACAAAATGGTTATGCGGCCCACACTCGTCCTTCTCTCAGTTATCTGGCCCGCTGTGAAAAAAAGTTTGGTGACCCCTGATCTATTCTATCAGATGTGCACTAACAAGTGTTTTTTTGTAATTAAGCACAGAGTTACACAGTGGGCTATCTGTGCTCTGCCCACCACGGGTATCTAAACCAGAATTCTAGCATTGTAAGTCCGCAGACATACCGCTGTGCCACTGGGGTCTAACAAGTGTTAGTAACAAAGCTCACTTCTCAAAATGTGATTTGCCAGTAATTCTAATAATATTGTATGCATTAAAAAGTATACTTGTATATGCCTAGTTGTGCATTTTACAACCACACAGAAACAATACATAAAAACATAAATACTTCCTACATAGGTCTAAAGCTGAAAAATCACTATTGCACGGTGATGGACTTATAACGTAGAAATCCATAGGAGTAAGAATGTAACCATAACTTAAATAACTCTTACTGTTGTATAAAACATGAGGTCAAACAAACGCTCCCTTATTCAATAACAATGAAATTTACCATTTCCTCAGCTTTTGTATTCATTGTTTTTCAATTCTGTTATTTTTTATTTCTTAACAGCAAGAAGTTTGTAAGTCTTACCTGGAGAGAGAAAAAAATCTTTCATGTAACTTTTATTTTTAAAGTTTCACCCTACTTTTTCAGCATTTATTAGGAACTGCATCTATTTTATGGCTAGATTAAAAACAAAATATATATGTTTCCTATTTCATCTTGAAAAAATAGCTTAAGTATGTAGGTGTTGATATTATTTTATCTTAATATTTTTATTCAGTCAAAATATTCATCCAACTATCATCAGCAATGTATTGACACTACTTGTTCTTGTGCAAACTCAATCGCTGAATTTTCTTTACACTATAATTTTAGTATTTTTCCCTTCAATTTGTTCACAACATTTGACACAGTTTAACAATCCTTTATCTAGTTTTCCGATTGTTTTATGTTAACTGTCACTACTTTGTTAAACTATGTGGCTTTTTCCCATATTTAAGCACGTAAATGTCAAGCTACTGTTGCATAACATCATTCTTTCTTTCACTTTCATGCAAGTGCATTTATTAAATACCAGCGAACATGCAGAGCAAGGTCTCACAAACTCAAAACACTGAAACAACCAGAAACGAGTACACATATTATAATATTTATTCAAATCTGTAATAACAAAAAAAAAATTCCACAAAAACTAAAATTTTATTATTTTATTCTGATATCATCACTTAAGGTCAGCAATGGAAATAAGGGTAGATCAGGAAGCAGGAAACAAATTTTATCTTAATTTTGTATGTAACTACACAAGTCTCAATAAAAGGTGATTTAATTGGAATTTAACTTTATGATCAACCAACATTTAACTAAACAGAAACACTTGTGGATTTATTGAACATGGTAATTTTTAAGATAATATTTCAGTATGATTTTTATCATAATGATCATTTACTCAATAAAGTATGTTCACAAGAGGCAGAAAGAAGCTTATAAACTAAAAAAATATGTTTATCATAAAGATTGTTTACTCAATAATGTATGTTCAGAAGAGGCAGATAAGAAGCTTATAAGTTAAACAAAAATTATGTTTATCATATGGATTATTTACTCTATAAAGTTTGCTCGTTGCAACTGAAAAAGTACATGTGAAAGTGTTGCAACTTGTATCCATAAATATTTGGTATTCTTCCATTACTGTGGATCTAAACTTTGTTTTAGATTACTTTACATGATATTGTGTATTTACCTACTATTAGTACTAAGAAACTATCAGCCATTGGAAACATGATACATTATTTTACTGCTGTTTTGGCTATTAATATATCCCCTCACTGCCATCTTTTCATATGTTACAGTATTTGGTCTAAACAACTACTAACAAAGCTTGGCTGTATAAAAAAGCTACAGTCTGTGAATGGATGGAAGAAATTATAATCTGTCTACATCAGCATAATGTAACTAAATTGGTTTGATTAGTAATTTTTGATTTCTTGAGATATAGGCTATGTGGAACTCTTGTATGCATGAACAGTGGATTCTAATGAACAGTTTAAGACATTTAGGAACAAATCACAGATCTTGGGAGTTTTTATAGTTTCTTTATGTGTTCTTTTCATTCTTTAAAACTTATTTGTGTTAAATTATGTATCTTTGAAAGTTACAGATTTTTACAACTGGACATTAGCTAATCTTAACTAGGCTTAAGAGTACATTAAGAGATGTCAAAATTCTCTCATGACTGAAATCCTTATTTAATGAATATTATTGTTAAGTTTATTGTATTCAGTGAATACAAACAAATAAAGAACTTATTTTTTATTGTATTAGCTATCAATTGATACTGACTAAGAATGTTGTTGGTAAATATCTCAGTACTTAGCTTGACAAAGGTAATGGTGACACAAATTGGAAAGGGGAAGCTCTAAGTCACTGATAAATTTTTGTCCGATTTTCCTATATTTTTTACAACTTATAGTCAGAAGTAATGACAACTTCATCTAACAAAACAATGTATGAAAAGAAATAGGTTAAGGAATATCAAACTAGCTGAAAATGACTGGATACATAAAATGCATACACTTGAAATTGATCTAACTTGAGTTAATTATTACAAGTCGGATATTAAAGTTATAATTTTCCTATACTGAAAATGTATTTCCTCTCACATACTTCGCTATTCTCGTTCAGTGTTGCCCTCTATATGCAAAGATTTTTCCCCATGCCACAAGCCTTGAGCTCCCACATACCCCACAATCAATATGGTTCAATTGCATTTCACATGTAAATCATCATGTGGCAACCAATAGGAGTGCGACACACCTTTCTGACGAATGTGACTCTATTTGATTCTACCGAACTATTACTTTGAGTTTTGTCAGAAAATGGAAGCATCAGTTTTCAGTGGGGAGGAAGAGTGGGAAGTATGAGAGGAGGTAAGTAAACACATTTTCAGTGTAGGAAAATTATAACTTCTGATACGGTACATTACCTCCATTCACATAAATAACTAGAATTCCACACTGAATAGGTGGAGGGACCAGTGCGAGAGAAAGAAAGAAGCATTCTTTGAAAGCATCCGAAAGAACACCCTAAAAGGGGAGATCTTTGTAGTTGAGAATCATATGTGGAAAACCACACCACTTCTGTACCAAGTATATTCTTCACCCAGTGTGGAAAAAGGTGACACAGACATGGGTGGAAAATGGGAGGAGCATATCCAAAATGGTGAGAACAATGGTTGGATAGGGATCCAAACCACCAAAATATCTGAATCACAATCCCTTTTATGATGGTAATGTTGGTAAGAGTAAAAAAAGGATGTGCCCCAAGGTATAGAGTGGCTATGGCATGATGGACCAGACATGGCAAATCAATTGCATCTGCAACCCAGCCATTGGGAACCGACATCCTTGTGGGGGTAGCAAAGAGGATCATACCTTCTTCACCTTCAGTTCAGCAGACTGGAGGGTTATATCATACCCATTGATCTGTGAACAGGACACATGAAAGCAAAGTAAGAAAATGTTTTACTAACCCAGGAACCCAACATCCAAGTGATCAGAATAATAGAGATGTCCCTGTAGTGTGAAATAGCCCACTCAAAACCAATCAGATAAGAACAAACCCCAGTGCAGTAACATCCTAGGTAATTAAAATCTCTGAGAGATAGTGCAAAAGGAAGAACCATAGTAACCTGCAAATTCAACCACTGTGACCCACAAGATGGTAGCAGTGAACATGAGTTCAGCTGAGTGAGGAAACAAAGATACCCGTAATACATGTGTGAGGACTTATGTTGATTGGTCCAGCTCTGAATCCAAAACCCAGCAATAGGGAACCAATTTCCATGTAGAGGGTAGGATGAAGGATCCCAATCGAAGGGGGAAACTGCAATTTTGACATTTCACTCCAACGCTACAACATCCTATTGGATAAACCCATTCAGAGATGGAGAGTCAGATTGGAGGAAATCTCCTCAACTACACCAGCAGAACATCACCACCTTGTTCTCAACTGAATAACAGTGTGGATTTGACTACCTAGACAGGCACCACTCACCACTGAGTGAGATTCGTACAGTAAAAAAAGAAACATGCCTATGATAACGATAACTTCCCAGTCACAGTCTTACTGAACTCTGAAATTGGTAACAGGTGGAATACGATAACCTGATGAGGAAGAAACGGTGATCCAGTGCAGATTATGAAAGATGAATGTATGTGGTGTGGTCCACAAGCCCAATTAAAGAATTTCTTCTAATGGATGATGGAGATGAAATGCCATGGAAAAGGTAAGTGCCTAATCTGGTGAGAAGACATCTGGAACAAATTACAGGAAGAAGGAGACAAGGACATATAAGCCAATCGAATTAAAAACCAAATCTAATTGATAAGGGTGGAAGGAGAAAAATCATGAACAGAGGATAGCTGCCATGGAATGAAGAGGAAGGACAGGAACCATGGAAGGAAGCCATGCAGGCAATAGAACAAGAAGGAGCATGTACAGGACATAGTACTCTATCTGGATCAGACCTGGGAATGTAGGTGGGAAATGAAATGAAGGGAAAGCAACGAGAAGGAGGAATTACTCTCATGAGCCACCAAAGTTTTAGGACGGAAAGATCATCTGGATAAAGGAGAACACTTGTGGAATGATACAGGGTACGTGAAACATCAAGGGCAAATAAATCCAACTGACAATGTCCACAGGCCAAGAGGAGAAGGAAATAAGTATTAAGGGATAAGTGAAAGATCAAACAAGAGTACAGAGGTTCAAACTGAGGTAAAGTAAGGCAGCAAAGAATCATATTGACACCCCAATATGGAAGGACTGCGTGTTGAGGAGGATGACGAGTCCAGAAGGAATGCAATAATAGTGAGACAGTAGGAGAGGTAAAAACTTTACAGTATCAGTAAAAATGAAAAGTGTGGGATAAGGCAGCCCAATTACCTGCAATCAAGGAGACCAAAGTTCCCTGATCAAACAGCCAAGTGAGGAAATCTGTAAGATGAGGAACAATGGGTCGAGCAGGTGAAAACCCCCGACCCAAAGACAAATGGCAGAAAACATTCCACTTACATTGATAAACATCCATAGAAGGGCAAATGGAAGGAGCTAAAAACAAAGCGACTCACCGGAACAATCCATATTTCCTTGCCAAGGACTGATAAAAACCAGGTGTGTAGATGGAAGGTATGAAGGGCTGGAACAGATGCTGGTGACCAAGGCTGATGTAGAAGGGATAGAGCAAGAGGAAGAGGTAATGGTGGAGCAGCCATGGAAACCATGGTTGTGCCGGCCAGTAAGGAGCAATTAAAAGAACTTGACATGAAGTGGTGTGGATGATTGAAATCACCCTGAGAATAAGATGGATGGGAGGACACACACATAAAGGTATCTGTTGGTCCAATCCTGGCTGAACACATTAGCAGCCAGTGCAAATGGATGAGGAACCAGAGACTAAAACAGAGGTAACTTAGTATTGAGGGATGTGGCAAATGCATCTAGGTGAGGAGTACCCCATCAAAGGCATAGCCACTGGAAAGAGAGAGGATTAAGAGACCACTCCATTGGATAAACTTTGTCCAGCTGGGAAAGATGAGCCACAACAAGGTTGAATGCACCCAGAACATGACACACAAGGACTCAAATATTGGTCAAGCATCCAAGATATGACCACAAAGGGAATGAGAATGGGTACCTGACCAGGTGATTCCTGGGAAGATGAAGAAAATAATCCAAAGCACGATGTACAGCCAGAAGCTGTAGGATGTTGATATAGTAAGATCACTCAGCTGGAGACCACAGACCTGAAGCTTGATGATCCGTGACAAGGTGGAATGCACCCAGAACATGACATGTAAGGAGACAAATAGCAAGCGTGTTTAAGGTGGATTTTGCTCTAACTTTCTGTTAGGGTTTTGTGCATTTCCTTGTGATCCCTATTATGAATCACTATCATGGTTCATGATAAGACTAGTTATAAAAAGAAGTATAAGGAATTTGGGTATTATTTTCAACTATTATCACTTTGTCCCTAAAAAAGCTTAACAACAAATGGATAGTAGACATTAAGTATACATGTTTCATCAAACTACTTCATGATCACAATTAAAAATTTTGTATATTTACCAAACCTTACATACACACACCATCATCAATAAAAATTTCACAGGAAAACCTCCAACTGTGTCTCCTTCTTTTAGTAAGAGTCCAGGTTTAATTGCAGAGTTTGTCCTGCCATGTAAAAAAACAACAACAAAATTTTGATGTGAGAAATTTAATTTAATATAAACAAATTAAAATCTGATTCTACAGCAACAAATATCAAGTCTACTAATCTATTATTGATCAGAAAATGTTTGTTATTAAGCACAAAGCTACATAATAGGCTATCTGTGCTATAGCAACTGCACATATCTAAACCCGATTTTTAGCATTATAGGTTTTTCAACTTAATTCTGAGCCACCTTGGGTCATTCAGAAAGTGATGATTAACTTGTAATTGTTGGGAGGACAAAAAACAATAATGGTGAAGAGTACTAAGAATTTTCTGCTATTTTTGTCAATCATACTGTATAAATGAACAGATATCAATATTACATAATCTGATCAAGAATCAAATTTTACAGAGTAATAATAGCAATTGATTCTTACTATATTTCTTTAATTATTTTACCCTGCTCTTAATATTTCTATTAAATGTTATCAAAATATTTCTTTTTTTGAACTGTTGAAATTATATTAAGTAAAAGAAATGAAACAATAACAATAATATTGTTAATAATATAATATAATATTGTTAATAATATAACATAATATTGATAATAATGTAACATAATATTGTTAATAATATAATATAATATTGTTAATAATATAACATAATATTGATAATAAAGGTACATAATATTGTTAATAATATAATATTGTTAATAATATAATATAATAGAACACATTAAATTAAAAAATATAGCTATATTTCCTTGAATACTGGTAAGTCCATGAACATTAAAAAAAAACATGCAGATAGTCGAGTTTTTACAGTTCTTGACATCACTAACTTATAAAATTCACTGTTTTAATTCTATATAAGCTAAAAATAAACCTCAAATGAATGCAAAGGCTTTAGATTTCTGACTTAGTCCACCAACAACTTATATCTGCACAGTTGAGAACTCTATGATTTCCATCATCTGAATAATAGTTACAGTAGGAGGCCAAAAGTCAACAATTATGGCTAGTAGTTTCAATTTTTTCACTTACTTCATCCAAAACAAATGTCAATACAACTTCTATAGAAAAATAAAAATAAAAAAGTTCAACATGTCAGTTTGGGTCTTGAGTAATTACACTTACCAGTTGTGGAAGATTTTGGAATGTATTTTGGAGGCATATAAAACATTTTTTGTGGTCTTTCTTTCTGGGCAAAATCCGATATTGGCGTTGTTTCTTGTGGTTCATTGCTCTGTAAAATAATATATGTGTGCATGTGTTTTAGTACTTTAAAACCTAGTTATGAAAAAATTAGAAAGGAAGGCTTAATCTTACCATATGTTCCACGTTTAACTACTAGTTTATTTAAAGTGTTCAAAAAACAACAGATATTCTACCCTATATTTAAACTGATAAATAAGATGAATCAAATATTAGGTACTACGAAAAACGAAATACATTTAACTGAAAAAAACTGGAATATATAAAATAGAATGTGAATGTGGAAGTATTTACATTGGTCAGACAAAACATAATTTAAAATACCACTTAAATGAGCATAAGGGATATGTAAAAAATAAA